ATGGCTGAAGCTTTCCCAAATTTGATAAACACTTAGAATGTGAACATCCAATAAGTTCAACCCCACATAAGATTAGAATAGTAATAATGATATCTGCAAAGAGACAATTACTTTGGGCTGACTACCTACTCTCTCCTCCCATGTAAACAAACTAGGTACCATACTTGTCTGACATCCCCTTACTCTATCACAGGAGAGAAAGCTACTAGGGACAGGATGATGCTGGGATGTCTTCGGGGACACACTGGACATTGTTCCAAATCTCCAGATCACTTTGAAAGTCATTTTAAGCAATGGGGAGACTTTTTCCTTTCTCTCCCCCTTTTAAAGTGACACCCTCATACCTAACAAACTTCTTTAAAAACCCAATGCCATGTCTACGCTTTTCTCTGCCAATAGGCCTGTTCAGTATCCTGAAAACTCAATATAGTTCTACTTTTCCTCAATCCCTTTTCTTCCAACATGCATACACAAATTTATAAAACCTGAGAAATTGTACTCTATCTTAAATTACCACATGTATTTGTTATTTACTTGTAGTAGGGACAAAAGGAAGGAAATGTTTACTTCGGTTTAGTATACAGTTAGTCACAGTGGGAAAGTCATAGCAGTAGAAACTTGAGGTGGTTCACACATTGTGCCCACAGTCAGGGAGCAGAAGGTGATGAATGTTGGTGCTCAGCTCATTTTCTCCTTTATATGACATTCATGATCCTAGGCCATGGAGTGGCACTTCTCATATCTAGAGTAAGTCATCCCACCTCAAGCAATCCAATAGAGAAACTCCCCCAAATATGCACCAGAAATTCTTGCCATGTTAATCCTAAGTCCAAGCAAGTTGATTATCAAGATTCCCCAAGCTTTCATGTGACTGCCTATCATGAAAAGTTAAAACAAAAGAGACCCTCACCAAGACACATCATTGTAGCATGAATTCTAATAGGTCTTAATAATAAAAACCTGGAGTCTGACATAGTGATTAATGCTGAAAGATCAGAGAAGCAGAGCAGCAAGTCCCTAGTTCTTACCTCTACTGAATCCTCAGATCTAAAGGGGTGGTCCTAGCTCTAGGAATCCTCAGACTGAATGATCTGAGCTCCTGTCTTCTCCTGCCTTATATCCTCTCTCCACCTAGCTACATCTCTCCTGTCTTCACCTCCCTAGTGCTGGAATTAAAGGCATGTGACCCCCCCAAGCACTGTGATTAAAGGTGAGCTACCTTTAATCTATTTCTCTTTCAGACTGAATCAACCTTGTGTAGCCCAGGATAGCCTTGAAGTCAACAGAGATCTGCCTGCCTCTGCCTCCCAAGTGCTGGGATTAAAGGTATGTGCCACCACTGCCTGTCCTCTATGGGTAACTAATGACTTAGCTCCACATTCTGATCTTCAGACAAGCTTTTTTTGTTAAAGCACAAAGTATCACCACACATTTTAATCAAACTTTGGCACAGAGAACCTATCCAGTGGGAAAGAGAAGCACCACATAACACACAAGGACCCTTGGTAAGATTATCAGCACATTTCACATCATATAACTGAGAGCTTAGGAAGTAGTGGCCGATCCATTTAAAAGATCAGGATTACTAAATCATCAGTCGAGAATCTTACACACAGCAAAGCTGTGCAACTACAGTGAAAAAGAAGTTAAGATATTGTCAGCTAAAAGTGGCGGTCATTCACTAGTGGGAAACTCCCCTTTAAAACTGTTCAGTTCAAGGGAAACAGTATAGGAGGAGACAGACAAGAGTGGCAGGCATCAAACCCATGAAGAAATAAAGACATTACAAATATGAGCACCTCAGTCATGTGAACTCCCATAACCAGCCCTTCTTCAATGACTAGAGCAAAGCAAATTCTCTTTGTGACCATGAAATATCACGTTCCCCAGAGACCATGTGAAGGGGGAGAGCACAGCTATACAGTACACAAAAGCCTCAGCTACTTTCCAGGAATGGCAAGGAAAATATTTTCTTCTTTCTACTTGTTTTTCTGGTTTTCTCAAGTCATAGAAAAAGTAACAAGTACAAACACATTGCTTCATATGGAAAATATTATTCCACATTAGTTGCATAATGATAATATGATCTTGGTTTTATGTTCACTGTATTTATATTTAGACTCACATACAGCAAAGGGAAGCATGAAGGGGGTGGCCTTTCTCATGTGAAACAAATTGTTCTAAAGTTTAATGGCTTGAAACTTTATTTTAAAATTCTCTTAATTCTTCTGGTCTAGGTCAATTTGCATTCAGATAGCAGACACATATGAGTAGATCCATGTGCGGAACCTATAAATGTGTTTGGTGGTTGGAAGTCTGCTGAGACTATAGCATGAAGGGTAGAATTCCTGGATTGCATGTTCAGTGTATCTTCAGTTTTGTTAGACTGTGCCAAATTGTTTTCATGGGGGCAATACCATAAAATATATATATATATATATATATGTATATTTGACTTTATAGTTGTTTTCTTAGTTTTGAAAAATCATCATAGTTTATGATTAGAGGCTTAAGAAAACTTATCTCATTGATGTCTTATTTTATTTTGCCTGTTGACTATTAAGAATATAAGCTTTTTCAAATGTTTATTAGATAGACACGTTTATTTCTTTTTGAACTGTCTCTATATTGTCTACCAAATTCTCTCTGGAGATGTCTCAAAAATGTAAACATTTTTATATGTTCCAGCTCCTAACATTTTTTTCTTTCCCTATTATGAAGACAAGGGTCTCACTATGAACCATTAGAAATGTCTTGATAGACTATTAGGTTATCTTTTAAAAGTATCTAAACCATTGGGTTAACTTGTCCTAATTTTTAAAATTTAAATTAAATCAATCTTATTTTAATACCAACCCCAGTTCCCTCTCTCTCCAGTTCTCCCCTCCCACCATCCCCCACCCATCCTCCATCCAGAGAGGAGAGAGTAAGGTCTCCCATAGGGGATCATTAAAGTCTGTCACATCATTTGGGGGCAGGTCTGAGGCCCTCCACCCTGTATCTAGGCTTAGAGAGTATCCCTACATAGGGAATGGGCTCCAAAAGCCTGTTCATGCACTAGGAGTAAATACTGTTCCACTGCCAGTTGCTCCAAAGACTGCCTAAGCCTCCCAACTGACATCCACGTTCAGAGGGCCTAGTTCAGTCTTATGCAAGCTACCCAGCTCTCAGTCTGAAGTCAGCGAGCTCTGACTTGCTCAGGGTTGTTGCTTCTGTGGATTTCCCCAAGCATGGTCTTGACCCCTTTGCTCATCACTCCTCCCTCTCTACAACTGGACTCCAGTAGTTCATCTCTGTTTCTGCTTTCATCTAGGTTATGATTCGCACTTACGGTTATCTTTTTAAAGTGTCCATTTGTCTTTTTTTTTTTTGCTTAAACATAAATTACTAAATTTAAAGCAAAAGTGATCATTTTGAAAAATATGATTTTAAAACTTTAACTTATGAGGAAAGTAAAAATTCTAGAATATAAACTGATAAATTAGAAATCAGCCCATCTTATGGATGGGTTGAACCATGTCACAAGCCCGGTGGTATGTTTCTAATCTATTACCACTCTAAGATTTCTTCCCATGGCATTGCTTTTAGTTTGGATTTCTTTGTATTGTGGACTTCTCTTTGATTTGGACTTGGTTGGAGGTTTCTGATCCTCCTCTACATGGATACTGATTTCTTTGCCCAGTTTAGCCATTATTTCAGTAAATAAGCATTTCAAAGTGTAGAAATGTCTTGATCAGGGTTTCTATTGTTGTGAAGAGACAACATGACCACAGCAACTCTTATAAAGGAAAATATTTAGTTGGGTGGTTTACATTTTCAGAGATTTAGTCTATTATCATCATGATGGGACATGGTGGCATGCAGGCAGACATAGTGTTAGAGAACAAACTAAGAGTTTTACATCTTGATCCATAAGCAACAGTAAGTGAAATGTGACAGTGGGCATATCTTGAGCTTAGAAGATCTCGAATCCCACATCCTACATCCTACACACTGATGGGAGATGCCATTCTGTAAATCTGTCTCTTACTGGTTGTTGAATAAAGCACTGTTGGCCAATAGGGAAGCAAGATAAGTAGGACAAGGAGTCGAGGAGGATTCTGGGAAAGAGAGACACAGTGAGACACCATGTAGGCGCAGAGGAGTAAGAGGTCCGGACCCTTTTCTCCGGTAAGAAAAATACCCAGATTAACAACTATGCGTTAAATACTTAAGTCAGAGCTAGCCAGTAAGAAACCAAGCAAACGGCCAACAGCTTCATAATTAATATAGTGTCCTGTGTGTTATTTGGTGGTTCAGGTAATGTGGCAGGGCCCAGGTGACTAGCAAAGAAAAATACACTCTACAGCACACTTCCTCCATCAAGGCCAAATATCCTAATATGGGGGCTTTTTTCTTTGAAACCACTGCAGATAAATACTCTTGTGTTACAAAATTGCTAATAGATTAAATTTCCCATGTCCTTCCCACAATAGTCAAGTATTTGACTTGATGGGTATATTAATTCAACTTATTTCTCATTGATCAACTATGATACTACTTTGGATGTCATGAATATATATAAATTATGTTCCTAATAGAAGATAAAAATTATAAAGTTTTACAGAACATTTTGTAAAAGACACTAGGCACAGATCTGTCCTGTATCAAATAGTAACATACTGTGAAATTAGTTTACTTTGAAAGGCTGGAAGCTGAGAAAGCATTCCAAGTCTTTTTAGTGCAAAGAGCAATGCTTGACTGAAGTCAGTGTCCACACAAGCACTGCTATTATTTCAGAAGAGGAAACATGAATAACTTTAAAAGCAGCATCTTTTGAGTCAGTCCTAAAAACCTTGAGACCACACATTTGTCTAGTATGTTCTTAGAAAGTATTAAGAACACATAAAACCCTACAGCATGCAGATTGAGTTTCCTCGGAAGACATTAAAACAGCCAGCTCACGTGTGAACCGTACACATGTACTGAGCAGATCACACGAAAGGACTACTTCTACTCACATTCTCATAGAGAGCTTGAAGGGTCTCCAGGTCAACCACAGAATTGTCCAAGTTCACAACAGCTGTAGAAAAAAAAAGGCAAAAAAAGAATATAAATTACTACAAGACAGCTGTGAAATGACATTTAGCCATGTCAGGCAAAATGTTCATGACCAACAGTTAGAGTGGACATGAACTTTAACTTCAGTGTATGCAATTGTCACACTTGAAAGACCATTTCCTAGGAATTTCAATGGCTCAGGTGTCAAATTTTAAAAGATTTCACTTGTTCTATGTGCTGGCTAATTTCATGTCAACCTGACACAATTTAGAGTTTGGTGGATAGAACGATCAGTAGTTGAGAAAATGCATCCATAAGATCAGGCTGTTGGGAAGCCTCAAGGACATTTTGTAATTAGAAATTGATTCAGGAGGCCCCAGCCCATTGTTGGTGGGGCCTATCCCTGGGCTGATGGTCCTGGGTTCTATAAGAAAGCAGGTGGAGCAAAGCCATTGTCAGAGAACCAGTAAGCATCATCTGTCCATGGTCTTTGCATCAGCTCTGATCTTCAGGTTCCAGCCCTGCTTGAGTTCCTGTCCCTAATTTTTTCACTGATGGGCCATGGTATGCAATTATAAGCCAAAGAAACCCCTTCCTCCCCAATTTACTTTTTGGTCATGGTGTTTTACCACAGCAATAGTAACCCTAACTAAAACAATACAAATACTACATTCCATGAGGATTGCTCAAATGTTAGAGAAAAAGTATAAATGGATCTATCTTTCACTGTTCAACTAAATAGATTTAATTTTTTTCTGCATACTAAAAAGGTAGGTAGATCATTCCTTAAAACACCGTGTCCTAGTTTAATGCCAATAACTATTCATGCATGCCAGCTTACCCAAAACATCTGGTGAAGGTTTTGTTTGGTGTTTATATTAAGTCCATCACAGATTGAATAGATCATCATTACACAGGAATGTGTTCCTTGAATGATCTGCTGGGTGAGTAGGGGGAGGTGCAGAATGTTGTACTATATTTTTAATTAGATGTATTCATTGTAAGTTCATTAAAAGGAATCTGTTTCCCATGGACTTTTTAGATTGAAACAAGGCAAAATTGTCACTAGGGATGTGTGCCAAGGAGCCACTGTAGAAGCACTCATGGGATTAAAGGTTTCCAGGAGAAAAATCAGTGTGGATAATTATAATTTTGATATATTTATTTTGATAACTGAGGCAATTTACTATGTCTCTCCCCCTCAAAGCTTAAAGTACACATTTACTAGTTGATACTGGCAAAAGTCCCAAGAAAGAATTAAGAAAGAAAAGTAGAAACTGAAGCAAAGGATGGATGAAAAATCTAGCCAAGGTAATATAACAGCTCTGGGAACAGAGCCCAAATTCACCAACAAATGTTGTACCAAGTAGAATATGATATTTCCTCTCTAATAGTAATCCCCTTTCTCAATTTAAAAATTAGTGTTCCTATATAAATTCAAGAGTAAATTTTCAGCCAAAATTAATTATTTAGTTACTCCAAACCACACAAATTACTAAAATTAAGAGATTAATTCATATTATTTGTTGAGGTAATATATAACAAAATACATGAAGCAATAAAAAAACAACTATTTCATGTACGGAAGTTTCTCCCTTAGTCTAAGAAAAATATAAGTAAGTCTAACCTAAGTAATTTTGTAATTCATTACTGAGTAAACACCCTACAAATTTTTACATTTCTTGGTGACATAGTAAGAAATTTGTGGGAAAACTGCAATGGAAATATTAATATTAAATTTAGTATAAGATTTCACCCTCAAAACATAACAGTCATTCAAATTAAAATTAAATTCACAGGACACACGTGGCAAATGAACAAAAAACAGCAGTGATCCAAATTAACAAAATCACAGACAGAAGGAGAAAAAGTACAAAGGACAGGAAATTCAGAGAATCAGGTCTCTGAAAACTTAAAAGAAGTGAACGACTGTCTAAATATATATGATCTACCAAAGTTAAGCCAATGAAGCAAATAATTTAAAGAGAATTAGAACACCCAGAGATATAGAAGCAGGAGCTTCCCAATTTCTTTTTACAATAGTAATAATACCCCAATACCAAAACACCACAAAACTTAAAGGAAGTTGTAGGCCAATATCTCTAAGGAATATAAATGAAGAAACTGTCAGTGAAATACTTGCAAATGAATTCAATCATCAAAAGTCTCTCCATTGTGATGGTTGGCTTTATCCCAGAGATGCAGAAATGGTTTGACATACATAAACCAACCAACAATAATCCACCACATAAATAGAAGTCAGAAACCACATGATCATCTATGAAAGCTCATGAGATTCAGAAAGGCCTTTGAAAAAAATGCAACATTCCTTTATGACATAAGTCCCGGAGAGATTTGGGTCACGGGGAATGTATCTCAATGTAATTGTAATTTAATTAAAATTTTTCATCCAGGTATACGTTGTATGTTGAACATATTTTCCCTTATTCTCTTTTGCCCCTTTTCTTGCCCCTCCCATCTTTGTTTCTCCTTTGTTCCTCTAGAATTTCCTTTTATATACATCTGTAGTTTTATATAGCTCTATATAATTGAATAACAATAAAGGAGATAAATATACAATGTTTTTCACGTAATTCACTCAATATGATTGCTTCTGATTTTACCCAGAGACACCTGTCATCTCCCCATTGCTGGGGGTATAAATAAGTACATGGCACTAAGGTTTTTTCTAATGTGTGTTCTGGGCACTGAACTCAGATCTTAGGTTAGCTAGGCACGCAGGATCCTCTCTTTGCTAATTCCTCAGTCCTCAATGGAGTTTTTATTAATTTGCAAATTATTTTTATTATTTTTTGAGGTTAATATTATATCATTTCTCCTTTCCTTTTCCTCATCCAAACTCATGTACCTCTCTTTACTCTTTTCTAATTAATTATGTGTGTGTGTGTATGTGTATGTGTGTGTGTATGTGTATGGGTGTGTGCATGCATATATATATATATTAAAATATAAGTAAAACTTGTTCAGTCTGTATAATTTCACTTGTATTATGTTTTCAAGACTGACCCTTTAGTATTAAAAAGTCTTAATAGTCCTCAGGAAAGATAGTGTCTTCTGTTCTCATTATTACTCAGCTACCTACTGAAGACTCCTTCAAGATTAAGCCCAGCAAACTCCAAAGCTAAGTTTTAGAAAAGAAGGTGTCATACCAAAGAGTATTGAAAAGGAAGAACATTATAATTAGGAACTATAATTAGGAAGTAAAAAAAAAAAAGAGTAGCGGTATCTTGTCTCTTCTGAAGTGGATCTAATTTTCTTAATCCTTTTTTCTTTTTAAACTGCTTTCCTCATATTTATTTTCTAAAACTCTGATGATGCATTCCACTTATATTACCAGGCTTTTATGTTTGAAGAACCCACTTGTCTACTAAGAATGACAGTAGAGTCATCCAGGCGATAGTTAAGATATCTGAGAACAGTGTGGGGTGGTTGAGAACATTTCATCGGCATCTATACTGGTTTCATCGTTCCTGACAGTTTCCAGTGGCAGCTGGATGACTGTAGCAGAAATGCCTTCATTTTCATGGACGAATTGGATGCCTAACCAACAGCCACTCTCTATGAGCTTATGGGGGCAATTGCATTCAAACAACCAGTCCTTAAAGTGTTTGCTGAGCAAACATGAGGACATCCATTGAGCCCTCCAACATTTACATATAAATATGGGTGTTGCAGCATGCAGCTGTAACCTCAGTATGGGAAACTGGAGACAGGAGGATTCCTGGAACTCACTAGGCAGTAAGTCTGGCCAAAACATTGAGCTCCAGGTACAGTACTAGACCCTGTTTGAAAAAACAAGGTAGAGAAATGATTGAGGAAGATACCTACTGTTGACCTCTAACCTCCAAACACAGTCCACACATGTGAATGCTCTCTCTCTCTCTCTTTCTCTCTTCCTCCTCTCCCCCCTCCTCCTTTCTGTCTCTCTGTGTCTCACACACACACACACACACACACACACACACACGGGAGTATGCAATGAAAAATAAGGATGAAGCAAAAAATACAGAAAACACACACATGTAGATTTAACTGTGCAGTGAATTGTTAGTCTTTCCCTAGGAGACACTCCTCAGCCACCCCATGGGAATCTTACCAGATGTTTGGCTTGTCATTCTCTCATATTCACATATATAGGTTCCTGAAATTTTCAAGTCATTTTGAATTATGTAAAAGCCTATCTATGTTAAATGGAGGATAAATCAATGCTCTTGGTTTTGGATTCCACATAAAAGAACAGCACTCTGACCCCCATATTTGTAAGGTCCTATACCTTAATAGTGTTCTTCTCATTCAAGTCCACAATTTATGTTCACTAAGATGTTTTAATGTTCGAAAATCAATCAAATGTTATAGCTTCCCCCAAATCATTTGAGACTTACATCTATGTTCTGAAATGCACAGATTTGGATGTAAAACATGGGTCTGCAACTAATCAACTGTGTGTTTCCTGCAGGGATCTGTAGGCTCTTTGGGCCTCGGCTTTTTCATAAGGGAAGTGGGTCTATAGATGGCCAGATTGTTATTAAGACTAGAGATAGTAGCTCTCCTTCATGGAGCAGTCTGCCATAGTCGTTCCTCAAAAATTGAGTCTGATATAAAAGCAGAGGGGCTTACTGGAGGGAGGACTGTGCCAGAAGGAAGGGGACAAAGTAGAGCGTGAGGATTGACAAAACAAAGAATGTATGAAAATGCTGACATGAAACTCATTTCTTTGTATGGTCTGTTTAAAAACTCCTTAAAATGTCTACATATCTTAGCACACAGTAATGCTATGTGCCATTGTAGATATATTTGTTCCTTGTAAAGCAGAATATATGTTAAAAATAAGCTTGTACTTCATATTTCTACTTAGTATGGCAGCAAGCTATAACCAAACACACAAGTTCGACCAAGCTAATCATCTGTTTTACACACATGGAGAGATATGGGAAAGCAGACAGATTTGAAATATCCATGGTCAGAAATCATTATCATTGGTAACACCTGAAAAGTTCCTCC